ACAAGATTTGAAGCGAAAAATGCTCACGTTTTATCTCGCAGTTTTTGTTCAGCTGAAGACAGCCTATATTATTATGATTAATATTTATCTTAAGCCGTCAGCAACTGAAGTGACGCCTCCAGGTAAAATGTGCACACCTTGTACCACAAATCTAGCTCTCCCGGCTTTGATGATGTGCGTTTCTGTAAGACTGGAAGCTGTAATACTTGATACACAAGCAAGAGCAGATGATAGTTTTTAAATGTAGGCCACAATGGAATTATTGGATGTGGAAAGTGCATGGTTACAGGTAAGAAGATATACAGAGGGATAACTTTCCAAGACGGAAACTTCCACCTTGGGACCAATGAGAATCTTCATAGTCAACTTCAATGTATTCATCATCTAGGAAAATATGATCTTCACAGTTTGCTCCTATCCATGCCAAGTAAAATATTAAGAGTCCAAAAGATGCTCTGGATGCAAAACTTTGACCGGAACAAGTTCGATTCAGGAAAAGCAAAACATGTGCTGATCAAATTGCAGCGCTACGTATTATCATCGAACAGAGAAAACAATATCAGTCAACTTAATCGACTTTTAAAGGCCTTCGACAGCGTTGATCGCAAAGTAGTCTGGAAATTTCTCCAACACTGTGGAGTATTTCAAATCTTTATCAACCTCATACAACAGCTATATGACATTGACGTATGTCAAGTAATTAACAACGGAGAAATCAGTGAAGTGTTTGGAGTGAAGACATCAGTAAAAAACTCCCTAATATCACCAGTGGTATTTTTTATTGTTGTGGACTAAATCATGCAGAAGATTGTAGGGGTGAGAGAAAACAGGAATATGTTGGGCTGATAAGAAGATTCTAGAAGAGTTTGACTCCGCCGACGATTTAGATTTGATGTAATGCAAACTAGAAGCTTTACATATGGGAACCGACAAGTTAACATGTGAACAAGGCAGAGAAGATTGAACGTCCAATGAACATGGACAAAACAGAGGTGAAGAAACCTACTGACAAACAACAACAACAACAAAAAGCATAAATCACCATCAACGGGAGAAATTTCGAGCAGACCACTGCTTCAACCTATCTAGGAAATACTCTCTCAACTACAGGCGTCACGGATGAAGATATCGAAGACAGCAAGGATAGGAAGAGTAAGACAAGCTCTCCTCAACCTGAAATCAGTGCAAAAATATACTCTACTCATCATGAAGAACACGATTCAGATTCGCAACACTAATGTCAAGTCAGTACTTCCATGTGGTTCTGACACTTCGAGCATGCATCAAAAAAAGCGCTTCCAACAGGCTACTGAAGATTTTTACCGACAGCTGCCTTCGCTCGATAATGAATATCAGATGACCAGCCAGAGAGGATAAGCAACAAGACAAGGGGACAAGAACGAATCGCACAACAAATATGAGGAAGGGAATGGAGATGGATCGGACACACGCTGATGAGACCGTTGAGTGACGTCGCGTGCCAGCTAGGAGGAGGGGCGAGTCGATCCTTAATAGGAAACGACGAGTATGGTGTTTGAGTGTGACATGGAGGATATCGTTTGAGGAGATGAGAGCTTATGTTCAACCATGAAGTCATCTGAAGAGGACTATAGAGAAACAGGATGAAATGGCGGTGTACTGATGAAGTCCCATATCCCATTCAGAACCTTAGGGAAAAGTAATATATATGTATATACGTACATACAGTCCGCTTATTCTGAAATGTATTCACAATTAGATTGTGTACTAATTTCTAAATTATGAATTTGATTTAAGGTATTAGCAGTTGGCCTAAATAGCTAGCCAGAAATCTGGTGCATCGGACTGACTCGGCTGTCTAAGCTGAGTCAAAACTGCGTACACTGCTGATGATCTCGGCCCCAAAAGATGGAAACAGATCTTTTCAGTCTGGCTAGCAAGCACTACTGGTTGATGTAAGTGACATGTAGCTACCCATTTCAGTCAGTCAGCATTATATAGCGCCATGACCATTATTTGACTACAATAATTTACAGGAAGTGCATTTTTACTATTAAGTTTATTCAAGCGCTATGCATTTACATAGGAACACTGGACAGCTGTTTCGTCTTAATATGAGGCTTCTTAAGTATATGACCACATAAGTTGTGAATAAAACTGCCTGACTGTGAAGCGTCAGTTAGATGACGCATTAATATTTACACATGAATCAATAAACTGCAGAACACTGAAGAATCTTCTATTGGATAAAAATGACTCGTCATGAGGCATCTTAAGAATGGTGTTCTACTGTCACTCAATGAAAAAAAGCTCCTTTCAGAGAGTACTATAATCTTTTTGTACTTTACGTTCATGTATGACATCGGGCAAAAGTTGGAATTTTACTGTTGCGCTTGAGTTTTATTTGTTTCTCTTCCTCCAAAAGAAAGATCTCTTCATCTAAGGATTTCGAACCGCAGATTTTTCAGATATAAGTCGCAAGAGATATCAGTTTTCTTTTGTATTTATCGGTATCTAACTCTGAAAGTTTGTCAGCTGGAGGTTCTGTGTACACTTTCTGTATACATGTCTCTTCAGTGTTTCGTCAAGCTTCTTTGTCAGTCAGTCAAGCATGATTTTGGCAGCCTGTTTGAATTACTGAGGTACCTGAATTTCCATCAAACACAATGCATCATATTTCCTCTAATTCTTTTTGTCTTAGTCACTCAATTATATACTAGATTCGCAAAATGAACTCACGCACATGTTCATTTGGCTTTCAGACTACTGGTGTACACTTCTCAGAGACGAAGTAAAAATACTATAAGGGATTATTCTATGCTTTAGAGTTAACAGCATTGAGTCACGTGCTATTCTTATAGACTGCTCTTTTACTTGAAGATGCTGAATAAGGAGAAAATACTAAGCAGTAAACTACGCTGATAATTCTGTATACTCTTTAAACACTTTATTCAGAAGAGACCTATTAGTATTTTTAAAAATTAAAAGGGAGAATGTCTGTCCAGGTTTTACGTCACTAGTAAATTTAATGCCTGGATAGAAGCTATTAAAAACTTATGGGACATTATTTAGGTCACATTTATTATCACAAACGATAAAAGTATCATCAACATGCCTTTTGTATAGAAAAAAGCCATTGATAGTTGATTTCATCAAATCATTTTCCAAACTTGCCATAAAAATGTCTTCAGGTACCAGATCTAATGGAGATCCAATAGCTACACTGTCTTGCTGTCTGTCAATTAAACTGCCGAGTGTATACTGAACTTTCAAAGGGTCTCTTCTTTGAACTACCTGTTCTTATTTCCATGTCTAGATGATGATTTGTCATTTTTCAGTTCAGTGAGTTTCCTTTAGGCTTATGTACTCTATCGGTGGTTGGGAAACAGATTTTTATTGCTTAATTAAACCAGATTATTACACTGTGTAATTATTGTTGCATAAATGTCTGAAGTTTTATCAGCTTTTGCGTACGTTTTTCATGCTTTATCAACAAAATTCCAGGAAATAACATACTTCTAAGAAGAAGTATCATATGACTGTCTATTAGATATTAGGTGAGCAGGTGACAAGCACTGAGCATAACTTTAAGACTAGTAGACTGAAACAGTTAGAGTAATATTTAAGTATTTACCCATCAATAATACGTTAGTACACAGTCATATAAGAGGGAAGCAATAGGAGAGGAGCTGAGAAACTTGTAAACATACAGCTGTGATTAAAGATAGTCATACAGACTTCGTTGCTACAGTGCAACAGCCGAAACAGTTACAGTGTATGTGAATCTTCTCTATTCACTGCTTGATTTGATGGGTTATTGGTATTGCAGAAGGACTGCCACTGAAAGTAATTTTTAGAGAAGATCAGATATAGACTGGTGAGTAAAGCTGAAATAACAGCCTTATTTGAGACAAAACTTAAATATGGTCAGTGACTGAGTCTTGTAGCTCGGCTAATAGGGTGTTTTCGGCTTTCCTTAAAATCATAACACATAAGCCATTTTCAGGTGTAGGGAATAGATTGGTTTCATGTTCGATTGCAGACTGACATCAGTTAGAGAGTCACTGAGAACTAGGGAGCACAGGATGGCCATTTTGTTCAAGTTTGAGACTCTTCGTCAGTACACATCCTTGGACCTCACTAGGAGGTTGAACTACGCACCTTCAGGTTACGAGGCGAGTTCGTTGACCATTCAGCCACTGAGATGGAGTCCAGTGGCCCATGAATTTGAACTTCTGTCAAGTTATGTTAAAACACGGTACCTGTTGAATTATTGGTTGAATAATGAACTGAAATGTGAACTGCTATATTTTTTGAACTGTGATGACTTGGGGATTGTAGAGACTTAATGTAAATCAATGGAAATGATCTGGTTGAAACCATTCTTAATGGGACTATGTATGTTTCACTCTTCTGAATTCTGTTGTTTTCTAGAAGTTTTAATATATTTTTCATACCTTTGTTTTCAGATTTATGCACTGTCAAATAAACAAAGTTACAACTGTATTTAGGCATATAATCAATATGACCAGTATTATAGTATCATCAATAATTTTACAGCCAAATGGAACAAAGCTGTTTAGTGGTTATTTTTGTTGTTATTGTTACCATAATACACCTTTGTTGTTATCAGCTTTGAAATTTCAATAAGTCGACTAAGTTTAATCATCATTTTTGGAACCATATACAACCTGGAACAAAAGTTAACATAATCTGTGTCCCTTTAACTTTTTCAATGTCCATATCAGACAGTCATTTGCGCATTCGGCATATATATATATATATATATATATATAAATTATATATATATATATATATATACAATGCCCTTAACACACAAAGTAGGTATATTTGTACATAAACACATGCACCAAGTCTGTATGGTTTTTATTGACATCCAGTCCAATCGATTTAATTTAGATATTTAAAAATGGCTACACATATATGTATATATTTATTGTCCAATCGAGTGCGATTACAACTGGATTGGTTAAGGTTTATCAACCTCGTATGACTACTGGCTTTAAAAAATAAGTGAATAACAATCGAGGTTTGATACGTGTAAATCACATTCAGATAGGAACAGAAATAGTACTACTAATTCATCTTTATTGTGTAGACTTACTGGTTAATAACGGTAATTCTGAAAAACATTAGACATTCATTGATTGGACTGAAAAGTGGAAAGCAATCAAAAGTGATGGAATATTTAAAACTATTTTTTAAGACAATCAGTTCACAAAGTAGAAAGAAATTCTTCTTAATAATTTATTACTGTTAATGGAAGTAAATTTTATGAAAATTATCAAGTGTTATCCAACCATATACCTCCTCATTTTACCTTTGGCAACAATTAATTCTCCCATTTTGACATCAAAATAATCTTAATGGTAAGTCGCAGACTGTTGTAAGACCTTGAATTGTTTTATTCATTAGTAACATGTTCACTAGTTAACAGAGTTGATTTCAAATTAATGGGTTGAGGGTTCGAGCCTGTCTGACATTATCAGCCACCAAACAACAAATGATCAGTTCAGCATATTTTTACAATCAGCTTATGAGAGACAACCGTAACGCAGATATTGTTTAAAAAAGGACTACTTATTGTGAGTTAAAATCAGCTAGAAAGTTGTTAAAAACGTGGAGTAATGAACAATATTTCAAAAGAATGGTTACTAAACAGATAATATTCTTTTCGATAACTTCATCATCAGGTTCTACAGTTATGTATACATTATAGTGAATGAATTAGTGATATTAAAAACATTAGTGCTGTTTAAATTTAAAAGGGCATTTTTAATCAGTTAACAATAATTCAGTTCCTATTTTGAATTCTACACTAATGAATTTGTCTAATACTGTGATATCTTTGGATGAAGATAATACTATTCAGTCTCTGAACCTGATTTAACAGTCTGTTTTCTCTGACTTCTGCCAGATGACAAAATGGTGCATTCACATTTATATTTTCTACAAAACCCCTATTTGGAATACTGTTCCTTTTTCCATTAATCATTTGTCTTCCATTGTTCAGATTATTGTTCATAGTCACCCGAACGAAGATGATTTATAGAAATTGATATATGATAGTGGCAGTGTTACGTTGTGAATTACTAGTGGTTGAAACCACACAAATCACTGGGACTTGACCTGAGAGTGAACAGTAACATGTTTTGTTAGTGACCTCACATGTCTAACCTTGTTTGGTCTGACATAAGTCTGTGGGTGTGCACTGGTGTAAATTTACAAGCAGTAGTAAAAGTAAATCACATCCGAACTCCTAATCGCAATTATTTAACTTACTTAATTTTAAGATATTTTAGCATATTCAAGATTATATTTTAATGATGGAGAATATTTGCAGCTCTAATAGACATCTGTAATTGATCGCCTAACTTTTCACAATAAGACAATATACAGTACGTTTGTTAACAATGAGAAAGTCACAAATTACAACCGACGTCCAATATACAGGCGGTGGCAGCCATAACTCATTAGTCTAGTAGGAAACATTGTGATGTTTCACCCAGTAGGTATCTGTTTAAATTATTGGTTGAAACGCCACTCAACGCATTGGAAATACATCTTACTAGGGAGTCGAAAATAAGACTAAACGCGTGTCCTGGATTCGGATATCCGTCATTATTGAATAAATAACAGCAAGTTGGATTGGAGTACACCTCTGAGTGTCCAGTTCCACCTCGGTGCAAGTTTTCATTTAATAATAATAATAAGGGTAATAACAATAACGAAGTTGGGATTACCACATTAAAGAATTCTGAGTTAATCTGCTGATTGTGTGAAATGAAAGTCATACCACTATAATGTACAGGACTAAATTTCGAGATAATTTTTATAAGTTAGGAATCCTCAAAAATACTGAAAATCGTCCAGTTAGATCCAAGAATTTCGTAATTCTTTTTTGAAAATGAATATATGAATAGATGATTGAACAATATCTTAAAACCAGTGTTAAAAGTCAAGACAATGCCTAAGGTTTTAGTACAATTTTTTCAATTACTTTGCTTTCTGATTGGAACAAAGGGCTTCAAGCTTGTTGGGCTTTGAACTTTCTGTAGCTCTTGTTGCACTTTTACGGGGTGGGGTTGCCAGCCCTCTCTCCCTTCTTGGCGACGTTTAGGAGTACGACGGCCGGAAATCGAACCTCCGATCACGTTCATGACTGAGGGTATTTCACCCCTGAACGACCATTTGTAATTGTGTAAATACATCTGTGTTTACACAATAAAACATTCTATGGCGTTAGTCCCAGTTTTTTCTTGCGGATCAAGTAGCCGATTGAATACCAGATTATTAATATTCAGCCGTTTAGTTGTTGTACAATGCGCCACATATTCTCAGAAATTTTACAGACCTCTTCATATTCCTTTAAAGGCTTGGAAAACCACATATTGCAGTTAGTTTATTAAAAGTTTGGTACTTACGAACATAAGTTCTATCAACAGAAATCGTAGTTATTTAGTAGGAAAATATAGTTTTTCTGTTCACGAACAAAGTAATTTAATAAGTTCCAGGTCTTATTAAATTAAGGGAAGAAAATTTCAGCTCTATCATAGGCCATTCGACAGTAAGGTCTGTGAAAGAAGTGAATATTAGACTTTCATGAGTATGGTAAACGATAGGGATCATGGAATAACTTTGTTTGATATAATTCACAGTGATACAGTATCCCTATCAGTAAATAAATAATGCGAAAATAATAATAAGGTAAAGAGTGAGAAAGTAGACTTAGGTCAAGTTAAAAGGACATATTGAAGGTCAAAATAACAATGCAGATCGCTAAACCAAAGAAGGAAGGTATTAGTACATCTATACTGGTATCAAAACAAAGTTTACCAAGGAAGGTTTAGTTTGATGACGGATTGTTGCTTTGAATGCATAAAGGTGGTTTAAACTTCCTAATTGCCAGCTAGGGCTTCCACAAACTTTAGGATGCGTCCCAAACACGTTTTGTAGATGGGTTTAACATGCATGTAAACATCAATTTTATATCCTGTCTCAATCATATGGTTTGCAATAGAGGAGCTAGGTCTCCTCTTCTCACCACTAATGGGTTCTGGAGATTGAGTCTGGTTCTGAAGCCATTTAGGAATATGCTCTGAAACCCTAACTTGCAGACATCGATGAGTCCTGACTATGTATTTGTGACCACATGTACATTTATCTGAAGATGAAAGAACATCTAAATTCGTAAATACAGTGGGATGTGACATCATTTTTCGCATGTTCTAAGGGCTTAGCTGGATGGATATATCGGCTTCATATTCTCAATTATTATGATCTTGGCAGCATAAAAAGTCCTTTTAACCACAGCGTTCAATCTTTGTCTTATTGTCCAGCTGTTATGACCACCCATATAGGGTAGTTTGATGTACACGTCTTTCTTAGCGGTGAGTCAGTGAGTGGGTCTTGGTGTTCTGACTACTTTATATCTCCTAATGAATCTGTCGGAATAATTGTTATCAACCAGAGTTTGTGTCATCTTTCTTTCTTCTTCATCAAGTGTACCTTCGGTGCATATTCGCTGGATTCTACTGAAGAGGCACTTCGCTCACTAAGGCTCTTTTGTACCGAACAGGGCAGAAACTGTGATATTTAATTAGTGGATGGTGACTAGCAGTGGAATCCAGGATGCGCATTTCGTCCTATTTGGAACTCGTCATCTCTATGTAACTGCATTGCCCAGTGAGTGATGATGTTCCCACCGAGGCTCGAACCCAGTGCCCATAGTTTTAAACGCCAAAGCGTTATCCACTAAACCACTTGGGCCACGAGAGCCACCTCCTGTGCAACGGGTCATATTAATTATTTAATTGAATTTTAGATTTTCCCGTCAATTTATTGGACCGAAGTGCTCGGTCTCAGGTTGACATGTTGGCTTCTTGTGCATCCTGGATTCCACTGCTAGTCACCATCCACCAATTAAATTGTAATTACATGCCCAGGCATCGTCAAAGCATCTAAAATTCAATTAAATAAGAAACTGTGATAATTACGATACTGTCTTTACCAGGTAGGTTTTCTATAAATAGATCGTTTCATTTCTCTATCAAGCCATCGACTAAGCAATATGTCTAGAAAAGATAAACAGTTGTCTTTTTCTTCTAGAGAGGTGAGTCTATTTTCTCGCCCGTTAACTTTTTATTGTTTTCTTATATATGTTCCTATGACAAGTCCGTGTATGATCAGATTGTTCGAAACGTGTTGCGCAAATACATTACACGATTCAGACAAATTACGTCTTCTAAATACTTTGTCTGAATTCATAAAGGGAACTAATTGTTTTAAATAATGTATCAGTCAGTGTGTTATATGAAATAAACTTACCTAGTATGGAATTATGTTCTACCATAATGTCAAAATGAGGGACATTTTGAATGCTGCCATGAACAAGTGTGTGGATTGCTTTTGGTCATATTTGAGAGATTTAAAATACGTTTACGTTGTGGATATACACCTAACTATCAACAGTCCGTTTAAAACAAATTCAGATGCTGTACACCAAAGCAAATTAACCAGTCATAAATTTCACCTCTTTATTTCTAACTAATATAATGTCGATATTTACTGAATTTTGGTTTGTGCTAAAACTGCTTCGTTTGAAGTTAAATTAACTAACTTAAATGTAATATGATATACATTATCAAACCATCTGTTTCCTGCCTTCATCATGTACCTATTTTTAATGCAGTCTGCATATTAAATAGCTACAAATTACTTTTCCAGTTTCCCAAATTTTAAAGGTTATTTATGTATGTGAACGAAAAAACAGACGTGCATAAATTCTTTGTCAAATTATCCATTCCCGTTATTTACTTTTCTCGACTTGTAATGGTAAAAAGATTGTGGAATTCATAAGGACCCACTTTACTATTGTGTTTGAGCTAATTACACCTAGCTGCAAGAGTTGGAGCTGAAATGGGCTTGATGATGTGATTTTCCAGGGCACGAATTTCTGTATTCAACTATTAGATCGAAATTTAGTGAGTCCCTTTTTTTCTAATTTGAGTCAATGACTTCTCTTAGTTGTACAATATGGCTGTCAATGAATACCACCTTTCCCACACCTAAACTGTATAACCTCTTCGATCACAATTTTTTGAAATCAGTCTCGAAGCCACTTTGAGGGCAGTCTATACCCAGTGAATTTGAAAGTAACAAGCACTAGATAATTATTCTTCTCTTTAGTTTCTTACGGATACCATCAGACGTGAAAAAATCACGCTTGAAGATAATCACCTATTGGCAATGATCAGTGGATTTTAATCTAATTACTCAACTGGAAAGTGTCTGTAGCCAAACGTTAACGTTTAATTCCTCATTTTGTTTAGTCTTGAAGTCTCTGTGATTTTTATAGGTGTTAAAGAGT